GGATAGCTTGAGGTTCTGTCTCAAAAAATAAATAAATAAATAAATAAAATAAAATCAGCTTAAATGGGATTATGACACCACACCACACTTACTGTTCAGTGACCTGCATTTTCACAAACACCTTGCATGGGGCTAGACAGAAAGCTACTTCCTACATTGTTACTGATGTAAAGGAAACTTGCTGGCTGTTTATGCTCCCTTATAAAGTTTTCAAATAACTAGTTTAACCAAAGTGCTATTTGTCCATATTTTAGTTATTTTCCATCTTTAAACAACATTTCCATGCATGGTCTTATATATACAATCTAGGCATACGTATTCAGTCGTTTCCAACCCTGAGACAGTCTAAGGAGTTCCCTTTTCCTCCCCCTACCCCAGCATTTCGTGCTTTGATGCTGCCTCTTTTGGGTGATTTTACCCCCTGAGTCTAATCTTTAGTACAGCACAGTTAAGTACATGGGCTCTGGGTTCAGATCCCAGCTCTGCCACTGACTGCCAAGAGCCAGGTACTTGACCTCTTTTTACATGTACAAAATAGAGGATAATATTAGTTTCTAGTTCATAGAGTCTTGGAGAGAAGTAAATGCAGTCATCTAGATTTATTGTCTGGCACTTTGTAAGTGCTCAGTAAATGTCAACCTTTATAATTGGTATTACATATATCTTTGCAGAGAAAATAACTTTTTATCCTATTTAGGATCCATGTTAATTATGTTCTTGGTAGCTATTTGACACATTTAATTTCCACTTGCCAAGATTTCTCTTCTCTTTACCTCCAACTTGATCCCTTCCTTTCCTTAACTTCTAGTGAGACCTATTGCTTATTCATTTCTTATTATCATTTCAAAATATTAGTGCAGTATAAATGTTTTTGTTACCTGGACACCTTGTATAATGCTTAAGTCAGGGCTTTTACTGTGCCCACTGCTGTTACTGCTATTCAAGGAAACTAGCAAAGCTCCCAGTGACAGAATCAGATAAACCTACCCCTAATGTTTAAATTAACAGCTACAATTTCTCTTGTAAAACTTACTATTTCAGTGGCCAGTACTAGTCTTTGATCTATTATAATTTATCATCTCTGATCTGTTATTGGTTTTCAATTATTCATTGTTTTATCATTCATTCGGAAAATGTTAGTTGAACATTTGCCAGGTGAAAATACGGGGCCTCCCAAACACAAGACAAATGAAACATGAAAACACAATCTAGTAGAGTAAAAGAGAATCTGACAGCAGGTCAGAACAATTAGGCATTCTAGGCCCGGTGACCTGTCCCAATTCTCTGCAAAGCCAGTCACCTGCTTGGGTAAAATCCGAAAGAAGGTCTCTCTGCAGTTTGAATCTTGAAAGACAATGAGCTGTTTACAAACTAACCCAGCTTGGCAAAGGTGTCTCTGAGCAGTTGGAATATTTTGTAAAAGCGGGAGGCCGAAGAAGAACTGTAAGGAGTTTAGGGTGGTGGGAGCAATGTATGGAAGGGGTTGGGTTCAGAGACAAACAAGACTACAGTAAGCTGCACTCAAAACAAAAGGAGGTCTTCAGTGTCCTTGACGGGACTCCTGTGGAAACACCACAGCATGCCATGGTTCTAGGGTAGCTCCAAAGACGTGCATGCACCTGCTCAGCTCAGTAAAACCTGAGCTCGGCCCGTCCTATGGCAACAGACCAACCAACCAACCAAAGTCTACTTTTCTGCTCTGTTGTTCTTCATTTTTGTGTATGTGTCATTCATAGCTAAATTCCAAACTACATTTCAAAGGTATGTGCCTTGATTTGATACATATTTAGTCTGCCTTTTTTAAAGCAATGTCACAGCAAAGAAGTCCAAATAGGAAGACAACATTTAACAAGATGTATTACTCGCAGAGAGTTCCATAATTACACCAAATGAAGTTTATCATTCACAAAAGCTCCCCACCCCATCCCAGGAAAAAAGTATAAAGAAGTAGCAACGTTTGTAATGTGCTTGTCGTTCTTTGTGATTTACATTCAGCTGCCATCCAAAAAATAAACAAACAATGAGTAGCACAGAAATGGCAAGCTGCTAAGAAAGAGGGAGGGGCAATAAGGCCATAGACGAAAACATATTGTCTTTATGTTTTTAGATCTTATCTAGGAAGACGAACATGCTTTGTCAGAAAAGCCCCAGGGCTTCCACACCTGCTCTGAAAGGGAGCTAAGCCTCAGCAGCTGACCCAGAGCTCTGTTCCCCTTCAGTGAGAGGGTTTTTGTACAGTGAGACAATGGGGAGCTCTCACCGTGGTGGACGTTCGGTGGAGGGACCAAGGTGGAAATCAAACGTGAGTAAAACCCAAACTTTCCTTTCTTGGTTGTCCGTGTCTTATGGTCGCTGGGTCTAGGAAGTGATCTATAAGCTGACTCTCTGCATCCAGATTATGATATCCTCCAGGGCAAAGATAAAGATGAGGTTCTATAGGCAAACTTGAGCATTGATTGTATATTTTCTATGACTGCACTGGGTGAGAAGAACTTGTATAAGAGATAGCTTTGGAAATGTACCGGGGAGCATAATAATGTGTCTGGATGGAGCCTTCCTCACTTGTCAGAAGGAACACAGTTTTTGTACAGACAGGAGGTTAAGGGAAACCACTGTGTGTATACTTTCGGCCCAGGAACCAGGCTGGAGCTCAAACGTAAGTACTTTTTTCCCCTGACTTTTCACTATTTCTAATTGGTCAGTTGGTTTGCTTTTTGTTCCTTTGTATGTGTGTTGTTAGCTGAATGCCGGGATATAGCAGATTTCATTCTCAGGGTAGGAACACAGGAGAGGACATTGTTCCACAGGAGGCTAGCTGATGTCTAAGTTTGAAGATTTCTAAATCAAAATAACTAAATTGGGCAAGAGGACTTGCTGCCCGCCCTTTCAGGGAGGTTTTTGTAGAGGGAGAGGTTAAAGACAAATCACTGTGATTACTTTCGGCAAAGGGACCAAGCTAGAAATAAAACGTAAGTACATCTGTGCTCAATCTTTTGGGAGGTCTTGGTGTTGTTATATCATTTGTGCTAGCTTGTGGTATTTTGGTTAAATGATCTATTCCTGGCGGCTCAAAAGTAAATGACAGAACATAAGGTAGCCAACTTAAAAGCCGAGCAAACAGAAAAATTATTGGTTTTGAGAAGAGAATAGGATTTGTAGGGAGAATGGGAAAGAAATAGCCAATCTGATATGAGTGGCTTCAAAGGGAGTTTTTGCTGAGGGGCGAGTATCAGAGTCCTCACTGTGGCTCAGCTTCGGCGGAGGCACCAAGGTGCACATCAAACGTAAGTATTTTTTCCCACTGATTCTTCACTATTTCTGATTGTTCTGATTGGTTTGCTTTTTGTTCCTTGGTGTGTACTTTTGTTAGTTGGATGCCAGGGATATAGGAAATTTCATTTCCAGGTCAGATACACAGGAGAGGACATTGTTCCACAGGAGGCTAGCTAATGGCTAATTTTTAAGATTTCTAAATCAAAATAACTGAATTAGGAAAGGGGCTTACTGCCCTTTCAGGGAGGTTTTTGTCGAGGGAGAAGTTAAGGCAAGGGCACCATGCTGAAAAGCAAACATAAGCCTACTTTTTCAGTCCACTTTCTTATAGAGTTGTAAATTTGGCGGGGGGGGTTATGTTGGAGATATAAATTGAGGTCCGTTCCAAAAAGAACAGGATTCTTTTGAAAAATCAGATGAGCAAAGAACTGAAAATTAGTCCATCTCAAAGAAGAGCAGCTGGTCAATCAACACGGCACCTAAATTGCCAGATTTTCTCTGTATGTCAGTCTAGTGATAACAGCAGCAAAAAGAAGCCTTTGTTGAGGGAAAAGCTATTAAGCTAAGGCTGCGTGGCTCTCCTTCGGCTGAGGGACACAATTAGAACTGAAATTTGGGTCTAATTGCCCATATTAACTTAGAGAGGCTTAAATACGAGTTTTATGGGGATGGGTGAATGAGAGCATTTCAAATTTATCACCAGCTGCAAAAGTTAAACCCAGCTTCGAAAATGGATTCGGAGACAAAAGGATTAAATTAATCTAAACCAAATGACTCCAAGGGAAAAAAAAATAGAGTAGTTGAAAAAGGAACCCTAGGAGTTCTAAGGGGCAAAAGTAAATTTATTTTCATTCATTTTGCCAAGTTTTATATTGATTGTTGCTCCTCATATATGAGACAGAAAAGTTGAAAAATGTATTTCTTAGCCTATTTTCTTTCTTCTGTCCAATAAATTATTTTATAAGATAACTATAAAAATCAATAGTATGCCCTAAGAAGTAAGTGAGAAATCTTGTAAGTATTACCTGTTTTGCCATATAGAAGACGCAGCTTACTAGAAAATCAGCAATGTGATTTTTAGAATCTAAAATGAGTCATAAATTGGCAAAATGATAGCTTCTGTAGGAATAAGGTCTTGGCAGATAATTCCTTTTTAAAAAAATCCAATTTGTACATGAAACATGAAATAATCACTTATAATGATGAAGCCAGTTGTTCCCAAAAGCTCAGTTTCCAAGGAATTTGTTTAAATAAAAGAAAGTAATTAATTGCATTTTTAAATGCCTATGGATTTGTGGGAAAATAGAAAATATTTTGAAGAGTATATTCTTTTATTACTTTCAGTTGTTATTTATCCATATTTTATTACGCCAAGAAGGCCACGGCCAAGTTAGCGGTCTGCAGACGTGGCAGTGGTCTTCTTTCATGTTTGAATGACTTCTGTGGCCATGCCACGGCACTCACAGGGCAGTGCATCTTAACAACTAACAGCCACAGCAATCCAGCGCTAGCCTGGTTAACTCTGCCGTGGCCAGCTTTTCTGATACACAGTGGTACAAATAATTCCACTAACAGAGACAGGATAGAATTGTAACAGGCAATGAGCTAACATGGGAAAAACAGTGAGAGAGCCGATTTATCAGAGATTTCAAAAGTAAAATTCATATTCATTATTAAATCCCATTAATGAAAATTTCTCTTAAGGAATTAGAAAGAACTTAATGCCTTTTTTTTTAGTGCTATTTAATCATTTTAATACACACTCATAAAATTTATTTCGGTAACAGGAGTTGAATCCAGAGGAAAAATATATATATTTTGCAACTCTATTTGCAAAATATATATATTTTGCAACTCATATATATGCAACTCTTTTAGGTTAAAATACACATCAGCAAAAATCAAATTTAATACCAGCAATCTAGCCACTCAGGTCTTCAGCAAATCACATTAAATACCATTAAGGTCACATTAAATACCATTGAGGTATATTAACTTATAAAAAATAAGACAAATTGATGATGTGTTTTTATTTCAAAAATTTAACTTCCTGGGTAAGATTATATTTCAGTTGTACAAAATAATCATATATAAATGTGATTAAATAAAAACTTAATATAAATGTATTTTCTAAGACCTTAATTCCATAGTAGAAAAATTTTAATCTAGACACTTTAATTTTATAACTTCTAAAATAGTTTAATTTGTTATTTAATTATAAATAATTAATAATAATGTAATGTAAAATGTAATAATAATGTAATGTAAAATAATTAATAATAATGTAAATAATAATTTGTTATTGTTGATAATTTCCAAAGTGATATTTAAAAAGTATTATTTTGGTCTTCAAGACCAGTTTAGAGCCCTTTTAAAGCTCTTTTAAAACTAATTAATTAGAACGATTAAAAACTACTTCACTGCTTTAAACTATTCTAAAACAAGTTTAGATACTTAAAAAACTTTTAAAGAGTTTTAAACTCTATTGAATGGTAATAAGATATCTTGAAATAACTGCCATATCAGATATGTTGTTTAATGTTTTAATTTTAAAATTTAAAGCTATCAGGAATTCACACAGACGGGAGTATCTTCATAGAATGTTTTCTCCTGTTTATTTTCCAAAGATTATGTTACTTGCTGTCAAGCCTATTTCCCAAATTTATTTGAAAAAAAAATTAGTAATAAAGGTTAAAAGAGAAGAAAGTTATCAAACATAAAAATATTCAGTCTATTCTGTTGAACTGCTTAATTAACCTTGAGATTAGCTTTACAAAAACCTGTTCACATTATCTGTTCATTTCTTCCAGCACAGGATTCTTCTTTTTCTTTTTCAGACAGAGTCTCACTCTGTTGCCGAGGCTAGAGTGCCCTGGCCTCAGCCTAGCTCACAAGAACCTCCTCAAACTCTTAGGCTCAAGCAATCCTTCTGCCTCAGTCTCCTGAGAAGCTGGGACTACAGGCATCCGCTACAACATCCAGCTAATTTTTCTATTTTCAATAGAAATGGAGTCTCACTTTTGCTCAGGGTGGTTTTTAACTCCTAAACTCAAGGGATCCTTCACCTCAGCCTCCCAGAGTGTTAGGATTACAGGCATGAAGCCACCACACCTGGTCTCAGGAAAGGATTCTTGATTTATTTTTTTTTAATTTTAGCTATTGTTCTCCCACCTGAGGGCTGGAATACCCACATGGGGGAATTTCCAAGAGGCCATCTGCCAGCTGCTCAAGGTCAAAAGTGAAGTTAGCTAGTTCCTCCTAGACAGGTGGCCAAGATCACAGTTGATCCCTCTTGGTCTGGCCAAAAATCAAGCCATGAGGTTGCAGGCCATCAGATCAGGGCCCAAGTCTCACTCTGAGACCTTTATGACTGGGATGAGAGTTGCAGGCATGATCACAGAGGGCAGAAAAGCTCACATCCATCCTGGCAGAGATGCAGGACTTGGGGCCCAATACTGCAGTAGGAGGATTTGGCCAGCCAAGCCCAAGCAAGCCCTGGGGAGATCACAGCACAGTCTTAGAAGAGGCATAGGGGAAGTGAAAGTCAAGATTACCGCTGCCTGGTCTTCCATAATGAGAGGCCACAGCTTGTTCTGACTTCTAAAGGAGGACAGAAAAAACGGCCTGTATTTCTTTGTCTAAATCAGGCGTCCTCAAACTAGGGCCCATGGGCCACATGAGGCCGCCGAGGACATTTATCCAGCCCACTGGGTGTTTTTGCTGCCACTGCCTGTCCTGCTTAGCCACTGCCTATCCTTTTAAACTATAGTCCAGCCCTCCAACGGTCTGAGGGATAGTGAACTGGCCCCCTGTTTAAAACATTGGAGGACCCTTGGTGTGTACTACAGGTGGCAGAGAACACAGTTGAAAAAAAGAAAGGTAAGCTTAGAAAGCATGCAGAGGCATCAGAATGGCTTCAAAGAGTTCAAACAAAACCACTTACAGCTTTCATAAGGGGGGGGGGTGTCTAGGGAGAAACTCAAAATCATCAAGATTATAAATATGCTTCCTGGCCCCATTGTTACAATTATACAGGATAAAGATGCTGCTTTCTGTCTGTCTGTCCTAACAGGCTCTGTGATCGTCCCCAAACAAGGCACTCGGATGGAGAACTGTTACTTAAACATCATTCTCTGTGCTTTCTTCCTCAGGGGATGTGGCTCAGCCATCTGTCGCCCTGTTCCCCCCATCCCAGGAGCAGCAGAAGTCCGGAACTGTCTCTCTCTTGTGCACAATAACCCGATTTTACCCGAGAGAGATCACCGTCAATTGGAAGGCGGATGGCGTCACCCAGACGAATGATATCCTGAACAGCCTCTCAGAGCAGGACAGCAAAGACAACACCTTTAGCCTCAGCAGTATGCTGACATTGCCCGTTTCAACGTACAACAATCACAACGTTTACTCCTGTGAGGTTGTTCATCAGAGCCTGAGCTCGCCCCTCACCAAGAGCTTCAATAGGCAAGAGTGTTAGAGGGAGAGGCCTCCCAGGCCCAGCATCAGCCCCTTCCCTGAGTAGGCCTTGGGACCTTCTCCCACAAGGAACCTACCCCTACTGCAATCCTCCAGCACCTCTCCCCACATCATCCCCCCTCTTCCTTGGCTTTAATCATGCTAATATTGGGGGAGGAATGAATGAATAAAGTTAATCTTTGCACCTGTGATTTCTCTCTCCTTCTTTATTTATTGGTTGCTATCCATTGTTTTTCCAATTACCCAGTAAGACACTAAATATTCAGTTGCCCTAAAAGGCACCACCATTTATAAAAGTCATCCTCCATTCTACCTTGCCCTACTGTCCTCTGCAATATGCTCCTCCATAAAACCTACAAAGCCACCTGTCCTTACACCTCCACTCCCCTGGTCCATGGCTTCCTTGCTTTCATCTCCACCGCAAGCCCTCAGAGTCCTTTTCACAGTCTTAACAGTCACATGTTCTCTGATTCAATTCAACATACTCTGAGAATCTACCAAAGCAAATTTTTCAAAAGAAGAAAATAGCTGTAAAGAAAGTCATTGATTGCAACGTGATGTAAAATAACAAAGTAAGGAAAACTAAATAAACAAAAAATAGGAATATGTTTAGATTTAATGGAATATTATGCCTTCATCACATCTTTTAAAATGTATTAAGGGATACCACTTTGCTGAGGACCAGGCTGAGCACGTTCCACAACCTAATTTAATTTTTACTACATTGTGAGGTTAAAAACATTCATTAAAGTTTGGTATATCTTTCTTACAAGAACACTTAAGAGGCATAGATGGGACATTACAAAAAAAAAAAAAAACATGTATTACAGTGTTGGGAAGGTTGTACAAATATGGGAAGGGTTCATATTCTATAATTCACTAATCCCTCTCCTATGGATATCCCTATTCACCAAGAAAAAACAAAAACTTACACAAGAGTGTTCAAAGAAGGGTGGCACCTGTGGCTCAAAAGGGTAGGGCGCTAGCCCCATATGCTGGAGGTGGTGGGTTCAAACCCAGCCCGTTCAAAAAAAAAAAAAAAAAAGAATGTTCAAAGAAGCTTTATTTATGAAAGCCAAAAATTTGAAATAACTCAAATGTCTACTAACAGTAGAATGGGTTGTTAAATTGTGGTATGTTTAATACTATTCGATAAAGAGAATTAACAAACTACAACTTTACCTAATAACATAATTGAATCTCACAAACAAAATGTTAAGCAAAAGAAACCAAATACAACATATGTTCTGTATGTTTCAATTCACGTGAAGCTCAAAATCAGGTATAAGTAAAATAAGAAATTGGAGTGGGGATTACTCTTGGCTGGGGCTGGCGGGGTGAGGAGGTCGGATGGCTGGGAGAGGAAAAGAAGGGGCTTCTGGGTGAGAATTTATTGAGTTATACAATTATAACCTTTGCACTTTTATTATATATGTTATACTTCGAAATAAGTTCACAACAAGAAATATCTTATGCCAAGTTTACATATAAGAGAGACTGAGAGGAATAAGTAATTGGCCAAGGCCACACAGCTGGTAGCTTGGAGGCTCAGGATCAAATCTCTACCTGCGTAACTGTTCTCTGGAGCTCTTCTCCCTGTACTGCTCTGCCTCTAAGCACTCAAGGTGCTGAACAGAACAAGGGGTCAGACATGCTGTTTTTCCAGGGTCTCCTCCTCCATTTAGCTAAGTAGAAGCTCAAATATATAGGAATGGAATGGAACAGACCTTCAGCAAGGGGGCAAAGGACACTATTAGTCTT